TAAGCTTATTATTATTTTTTTGGCTGACACACCCTTATAGAGAGGAACTACATGCTAACGTAACAATCAGCTAATGCCCCGCATTTGGACTAAGAGCGTCTCCAAGGAATCCATACAATCTCCCTTAATCTAGGGGGTTTTAAGGGATATGAATCTGTAATCTGTATAAATCGGATAACGCTTACTAAAACATTAATTCATTGATATGCCGAAAGCTTCGAAACAATGAAGGAATTGCAATCAATACGGTAGAGATTTCTTCATACATTGCACAGTCAATGCACAGAATATCCATCAAACACTTCCCTAATCATGAGGACAACAGTAACAACAACAAATATCATACCAAATCTCTCGGTGCACATGTACATATATACACTTAGGCAGCGACTACTTTTTCGCGAGCTCAGCCCAGTGCAGGGATCTTTGAGATCTCGACAAGGTGTCGGTGGAGAGCTTGAGGCTTGGAGAAGAACGGCGAGTGATCTGAGCCCTTTATTTGGAAAACACGTTCCGGGGGATTGGAAGTGTGCATGCTTTGCTGAAGAGGGAGGGGGATGGCGTTGTCGTCTGTGGTTTCTACGTAGAATCTCCGCACTGATCCATAGTTTTTGGGGGAGAGGGAGAGTTTTTCCAGTACGGGGGCGAAGGGGATTGATCGCATGGATACCGATGCTAATGCCACGTCCTTTTGAGAAAAAAATGAAAATAATAAAATGAATCAGAATAAATTATGTAAGTAAAACTAAATTGCCTACATCTATGTATGACAATCTGAAATGGTTTTAAGAATTAAGATTTCTGGCCTTCAACAGTTACTAGAAAAATTCAAGCTCTGATGGTCGTGTATGAATGCCTAATTACATAGATCGAAAAGAGAAGAAGGAACGCAAAATGATTGAAGATCACCCGATAAACTAATGAATAACAAAATTGTTAACAAAATTACCGTATAACAAAAAGAAATTTCCTCTGATTTGAAACCCAATAACATACCCGATAACTAAACTTAATCATAAGTATATAGATTTTGGTTTATCCGGTTCTGTTTCAGTTTTCATTTTTTTTCACTATTCAACCCAATTAGAGACCCAAATGCGCAGAATTGTCATTTCCGAAACAAATTGAGATAGGTATGTGTGTAGGGCATTCAAACATAATGAGAGAGTATAATTTTGCTCATGAAGAAGGATTTTTAGAGGTAACTAATCGGAAGTGAATAATACCTTGCCAGGACTTTGATTAAATAGCAAATCATCCAACAAGGACTTATCAAGATCAATAGAAGTTGGGGGTTGATCTTTTCCATTTGCATATTGAAAAATCTGTGCTCGGCGCATCAGATCATCTCCACCTACCTGAAACAGCAGCAAACGTCTGGAGTTAATATGCGGAACACCAACAAGGCTGATATATTTTTGCAATTTATGTAAAGGTGTATGCTATAATTTATGGAGAGACTAAAGACTGATGAATTATGAAATTTACCAAAAAAAAAAAAAACTAGGATAGATAGAAACCTGGTTTGTAAACATATCAAGAATGCTCTGGCCATTCATTGGCGTGGCAGCAGAAACAAAAACAGCTTTGGCGATCTTAGATGGGAACTCTTCCATGGCATGAGATATGCAAGCGCCACCAAAATCATGCCCTACCAAAATCACCTGCATATAACATGAGCAAAAGGCTATATGCAGGTCCCGAGCCAAAAACAAGGAAAACACTAAAAATTGGTTAATTGCACATAGACCCCCTTAGCATTGTTGTTGCTTTGAACTTATTTACACTGCTATAGTTTCATTGTTGCACACAGATCCTCTGAGCTAAATATTTTGACTCTTTTTCACCGCGGTGAATTTTTGGCAGATATTGCCCCCGAGCCCTTAAGGTGAAATTAGTGAGTCTATCTGAGAGAAAAAGAGTCAACAGAATTTAACCCGGGGGGGTATTTCGGCAACAAAATGGAAGTTCCAGGCTAGTAAGCTCAAAAACAATGGCACTGCCAGGGGTCTGTGCGCGATTAGTTTTCCTCAAATAAAGCTAGAGAATAATACCTTGTCTTTATCGCCGAGGTTTTTGAGAAAGTTAGTGACAGGCTCCACATACTGAGAGAGACTTGTTATGTTGTTAGAATCAAAAGCATGAACACCTGAACCTGTGAGATCTATAGCATTGACTCTGAATCCGCCATCTTTCAGTAACGATATAGTTTTGTACCAACACCAAGCCCCGAAACCACCTCCATGAACTAGTACAAAATGGTTGGTCTCCAAACCCTCAATCGATATATCCTGTTTCAGAATATGCAACAAGATTTTGTAAGACTCATGAAACTAAATTTGGATTAATTAGAACATGTTACGGAAAAGTTTCTGTTTCCTAAAATCTTCCGCTACGTCTGATGTCGTAAATTGCATTAATGAAGATGTAATAAGTTGTAAGTGATATGAGCCGTGAATAATTCAGTAATGAAAATTTCCTAACCATATATGTTCATTTTTGCAGCTATCATGTTGTCAGTTCAAATCAAAGTAGGATAAAATCTGCGGATTTCTGTTCAGATTCAATTTTTGAAAGTCTAGAATAAACGCGATAGTCATTGAAGTTACTCTCGCTTAAATTTCGGAAACTATCCTGATGTTAGGTCATTTCCAATCAAAATGTTCTGAACTTTTTCCGCGTTCAGAATTAAGATAGAAATAACTAAAAATTTCACGGTACTTTTTTGGAAAATTTAAGGTAGCTCTGTGAAAAAAGGTAAATGAAAAGGTTACATAATGGCCTTCTCAAATCATGATCCACTCCACTTGTTCAAAGTCAAAATTTGCAAATTCTATGCATCAGCAAGAAAACAATCAACTACTCGCCCCTTTTGACCAAACCCTCACGAGCATCAAATTCTCAGTCTCATCACCACCAGATTTTTACAAATTTAGAGTCAACATTTCCAAATCTCATCACCATTTGAGTATATATGGGTCCCTACTTTGAAACAGGATAGCTTTCTTTCTTTCTTTTTTTGACTAGTCAAATGCCACCCACCTCTCTTTGATTAAAGAAGTCATCACCAACTTGTAGATTTTCTCTCTTTTCAATCAAAACTGGGGTTTGAAAAAGACAACAGCAACCATCTAATAGGTCAAAGACAAAACTTTTGATCAAATATTTGATAAGGCCTTTTCTTTGTTCACGAGCACAGGGTTTTTCTCTACTCCATCCTTACCCGCAAAATCATTCTAAAAACCCAAAATATTCAGTCTAAATTGCTATATTTGGATCTAACATGCTGTAGTTTGGTCTAAAAACTATTTAGTACCGATCTATTTCTTTTAGGAGTGATTTCAGAAGTAGGTGTAGTGTTTTATATCTTGCAGATAACACCCTTCTCATCTTTGAGAGAGGGGTTTATGCGCAATTTATTCTTCTGGAAGCAAATTAAAACGTGTGTGTTAAGTGCTGATAAAATAGTTGAGGAGTGTTAAGTGCTGATAAAATAGTTGAGGACCTGATTGAGGAGGTGATTAGGGGGGAGGGGAGGATCACCGGCCGCCCTCGGCCGTGTGCTGGAGCTCCTCGGCAGCCCCGGTTGCTTCCTCCTGCTCCCTCCACCGACGGCACCACCGTAGAACGAACCCGGTGGGCCCCGGGCAGACGCGGAGCGGTCAAAGATGGCCCCATCACCGAGGATGAGGGCGGCGGCTGCCTCGAG